CACACACACGTATACTGATTTGATCCTTTAGGTCCCTGGAAAGATACTACATTCTGGTATACTGGCACATAATATTAGATTTGGGGAGAGTTACCTGGGGGTCTATGGGGCTCCCCTGCCACGCTGGGCATCAAGACATCTGGGGACAGGAACTGTGGTTGGGGTGGGTAGAGTTGGGGACCAAGGAGAAACACAGGAGGGTCATGGATGACAGGGAGGGAAGAGGAGCTGGAACAACGGTGCCCGGTTTCCAAAGGCTTTTTCCTCGAGTTTGATGAATCCTTATAATGAAACAACAAAAAAACATAGAGATGAAGATTAACACACAGCAGGATATGGTTGGGTAAACACAGTGAGGCAAGCAGGGGGAGATGGAACTAGAATGCAAACATGTCTTGTTCTGGAAAGGGGCTTGATTTAGTCCATCACTCTCCCTGTTAGTCCTTCTACGAAAAGTCCTGATTGCTGTGAACTGGAGACACCAAACTGCGGACCCTCTTCCCTTAACTTGTCTTCCCCACAGCCCTCACATTCCCTACCCCACCACATGGGTCTTTAGCAAATCCTTAATGCTAACATTAGAGTTAGAGAGAATGAGATAGAAACTTTAAAATAGAAGAAATGAGGGGAAAATTCAGAAAACCTGGGAGATTGAGAAAGAAAATTCTATACTCTCTTTAAAACTGGGTACCAAAATGTCTTCTTAAATGTACAAGCAAGAAGTTGACTACTCTATTTTCTCTCCTGTCACTGCTATAATCCACAGTCTCGTTTGCCTGTCAAGTTTGTACACACTGATGCTTATGTCCTGCTCTATACTCCATTAGTCATTCACTTTTGTGGCAGAGCCTCAGAAATATCCCCTTTAACATGTGAAATACTAGTATGTCCACAATTGAACCAACATTTTTCCAAACTCTTCCTCCTGGTACCACAATTTTCCTAAGTCACCTAAACTCAAATGTTGAAATTGCCCTTGATTTTGCACTTCTCATCCATAATTCCGTTAGTTGCCTTTGCCAAGTACTGTCATTTTAACCTATAGGTTTCACATTTAAACTCAGGTGGACCACTGCAACAGCCTCCAATCTGATCTTCCTATCTCTAACCCACTGCCTCCTTATTTGCAGCCAGCAAGTTCTTACGTGATATGGCAACGCCGATCTTTCTCCCTTCATCTCCTAACATTCCTGTGCCTTTCACACTCTAACTTTTTTAATGTTCCTCAAACACACCAACAAGCTCATCCCACCTCAAGCCCTTTCCTCTTATTGCTCCTGTCACCTGGAATGTTCTTCCCATGGCTCACACCTTCATATCACTGAGGTCTCTGATCAAATGTTACTTCCGTAGAGCCGATTTCCCTCACTACTCTCTCTCAAAGATAGCCCTGAGAATAACCAGTTACCCCTTCACTCCTCATCCCCTTGCTTTATTTTACTCTTCTTTATCACACATTGTCTTGGATTTACTTGTTTATTGTCTTTCTCTCCTAGTAGAATATGTTTCTTTTCACTCCAATATCCCCAGCACCCTGAACAGCACCTGGAAAATTACAAGCACTTAATAAATAATACATTAAATAAGATAATCTATATGCCAGTATATCTTATTTCCTTACTAGATTGTAAGCTATTTAAGGACAGATTTGTTTGTTTCATCAGTATGCTCATAGCACCTATGGGAGCATGGCACATTGTAGGCATTTACCTTATAGCCTAAGGACCAGGTCCTCTCAGCATGTGACACAGCCAACTATTCCTTTCTCCTGGATAGAAGAAAGTAATACCACACATCCCTGGTTTCCCCTCTATCTCTCTGATCTCTTTTACTAAGTGTCTTTTTAGTGTTCTTCAGAAGAACCACCTTAAATCTGATACTCTTCAGGGATGTATCCTGGCTCCTCTCTTCGCAATACTCTTTTCCTCTTTTCAATGGCTATGATTCTCAAATCTCCATTGTAAGCCTGTATGTTTCACATCCAAAGGCCTACCAGATATCTCCACTCGAGCTTAATATATCCAAAATTGTACAACTCTCGTCCCTTAAATATATTCCTGCTTCTCTTCCTTCAAATATATCATCATCAATCAACCCGTAATTCCTGGATAGGCTGCTTGATTCTCCTTTCCCCATATCCAGGCACATAGGCACCAAGTCCCATCGATTTTTACTCCTTAATTGGCTCTCCAATATATCCACTTCTCTACTTCCCAAACTTCTTACTGTGGTTCATGATATGACCCTTGTTTAGATTCTTTCCAGTCTTGCTTGTCAACACTCTCTGTCCTTCCTTTGCCAGTCTCTAATCCTGCCATACCAAAGTAGCTTCTTTTAATTCAGTTCATATCTGCTTCAGGTCCCTTTACCTGCTAGATTTTTTTTTTCCAGCAAGCCTTCCCTGATCCCTCCAGCCTGGTTTCTATTATGCTTCCACAGCATTAAATCCTGTCATATTATAACTGTTTCCTTATCTGCCTCCTTCAGCAGACTGTCAAGCCCACGAGAGCAGGAACGACACCTAGCTCACTTCCTGCTGTATCCTCAGCAACTGGCACAACACCCAGAACATAAGCTCAGTGTTTGTTTAAAATGAATCAATGAATAAATAAGTAATACAGAAGTCAGGAGAAAGGAAGCCAAATCTCCTAGGAAAGCAACAGTTTGCCATGAAATGCATTAAAGGTATATGAGAAGAAATGCTGGGCAGAAAAGACTACTAAGGTTTTTTCCAAAAACCAATGGCAAACTTTTCAGTTGTTTAGGAACTTCTGAACGATAAACTGGAAAAAAATGACTGCCTCATGGAAGAGAAACTGAATCTGCAGGTCCGGTAGAGCCTTAGAGACTTAGTTTTCGCTATCTATCCTTTTGTACCTTTTTATTTTTATACCACATATTTAAAACCTGTTTTTAAATTTTCACTGAATTTACCTAGTGAATAAGTTTCCATGTCCTGGAGCTTTGCATCCGACCTCTATTGTAATGAAAACTCAGCTTGCCTTGGGCAAGTGGGTGAAATTCTCAAAAGGCTCGATTTATAAACCCGGACATGGAAAACTATTTGAGTTTGTTGATCTCTGCTGACTTGGGAGTCCCTGTTCCTTTCACTTATAGATTACTGCATTCATTATGTAAGAAAGGCCTCAAGAAGGAGGATTTTAAATCATTTTCCTTTTCGTGCTAATGTACATGCTTCATTTCAGCTTGAATACACACTACCTTATTCAATCATGTACTGGGGTGGGGAAGAAAAGGCAAAACAATACTCCATCCCATCTCTTTTCCTCTTCCTTTGATTAGTGCAATGGATTATGACCCAATCAGGAGCCATTGCTTCTCAGAGATCCTTCTCAAGGCTACAGGGACTCCTCTCATCCTGGGGAACCCTATAATATACCTTGCAGAACTGCTATAGGGAAGGGACGTTCCTCGGGGCTCCAACTAAATGTGTGTCAATAAAATGATCACCATGTGTCCTCATTTCTGCTGAGAGCACATGGCTTTCCCCAAAATTATAACCTTCAGTTTCTCATGTCCCTTCACCTGGACTATATTTTACCTAGCAAGAGAAAGGGTGCTCTGAAGAGACAGGCCCTGATTTTACTCATAGAACTGTGGGAAGACACTGAGGCTTCCTCCCTCTCTAAGACAACAGTGCCATTGAGACTGCGTGAGATACAGCAAAAGTTCTCTGCACCTTGCTTATCATCCCCGGTGCCTGGGCAAGGTGCAACCTTCAGGTACACAGACACATACAGCCAGTCACATAACACCAGATCTGTGGTTTTTGCACAGGCCCTGTCCCCAGGGATATGGGAGAGAACAGGGTAAGACTCACTAGAGAAGACCTGAATTAGATATATTTGAGAGTGCCCATGTGGCAATCTCCTCACTCAAAAGAAGCTCAGTCATAGACCTCGTTCTCTCCTAATAGCCCCACTTTACCATGCCCCTGCCTTACCACCAAACCTACCACTCATCTCTCCCCACAGTTCCTTCCAACACATCACCCCGTGCCCAGCACTTTAGCACCTGAGGCTGCTACCTGAGAAGCAGATGCTGGGCTGGCTTCATGGAGACTATGCTCCATTTCTGCTGTTGGGGTCTTTGAGAGACCAAGGCCAGGGGCTGAATGCAACCTTCTCCCCACACCATCTGCAGAGCCTGGGGAGGAAAACAAAAATACAAGTTGAAGCCACCTCATGTCTTAGAGCCTGACCTCTGAGCCGAGCAGCACAAAAGGGAGTTCTTGTTTCATTAAATAACAAATATGCATCCCTGACTCTAACGGAGGGTGTGCTCCTAGAACATACAAACAGGAGTTTCAGAACATGGGTAGTTTCTTGCTGGCCACCAGGGTCTGCGGACACAGGCCTTGAAAAGCCTTGTGAAGGGGCTCTGTGGACAGATAGCTGAATGTCCCTATCTTGGTTCATTTCATTTTTGTAAACACAATCAACTTTGCTGCTGTCAGACTTGGGCCCAAGACTGGTATATACAGAGGAAATTTTCCAACATAGTGATTCTCTAGAATGTCTGTGATAACAAAGGGAACTATTATCTCCAGTCAAGTTAGAAACTGAAATGATCATAGTAGTCATCTATCAAACATCATCATTTTACATAACAGGAAAATGAGTTCGAGTCTTATAGGTAGTCAGTGGCTTAACCAGTATTAACATTCGAGTCTCTCGATTTTTACTTCCTGTTACTGTTATGAGCAAGAGCTCTTCAGGAACAGTTTATATGTGTAATGCACTTTTATTTCCCCCGCTAACTTCTCTCAATCACTTAAATTTTAAACGATCTCTAAATGCTTATCTCTTCCTCAAAATCTTGCTAGACTGTGAAGGGAAGAGCTGCTCCAAAATGGGTGTGTGGCTCCCAAGGGGCTTGTTGCCTCAATACAACTAATTAAGCCTTCCATTCTAAAGATGCACATGTCCTTGACCTATATTTGATACATATATTTATGTCTATTGCCAATTCATGTCTTGATTTGATATTTTGATTCTAATATATGTTATCTGGCTAACGCAGGATATTGCTGACACAAAGCTAGAAGACCAGTTATTTTTCATGTTTCCCGGTGCTTACACGCAGTGGTTCTAAAACCACCTCAGATTCATCCAGGAGCTTTAAGACACGCAGCTGCCAGTACCTCTCCACAGACACGCTGAATCAGAATCTTTGTGGCTGGAGCCTGGGAATATTTATTTTTAAAAGGCTTCCCCCAAAAGTGTAGGAGAATATCGTCAAACACTGTTTATGAAATGTAAAATGTTATAGTCTTCCTAAAAAGCAATCTAAAAATATCCATTAAAATTGAAAATATATTTACCCTCCTATCCAACAATTGTACACCTGGGACTAAGAAACAAAAATACTTGTTTATTGTGGCATGGTTTGTAGTGGCCAAGAGCTAGAAATAAAGTAATTCCAATCTATAGCAGCATAATGTGGCTAAATACATTATGGTATCCTCAATATTAAATATTGCCCAGCCACTAAAAAGGATGAATTGAGTTAAATTAGATGACTTGAAGGGATTTTCATCCAGTATTTTTGAGTTAAAAGGAAAAAAATCTGTAATATTATTCCCTAACAACAAAAAAACACTGTATGTGTATATTTACAAAGGATTTTATGAACAGAAAACTACAGAAATATGCATATTCGATTATTACCTGAGAAGGTGGGGGATAAAAGGTAGGGATTGATGTGAGGGAAGAACAGATAAACAGAAAAATTGTCCATAATAAAAACAGCATAGGTGCTGTGATCCCATTAATCTAAAGTTATTTCTCTGTTTTTTTAAAAGCCACTCCTCAGGTGATTCTGATAGGCAGTCAGATTTAAGAATTACAGCTGTAATGATTAGAATCTGGTACTCCTTAATCAAGTCAAACATGATTCCTAGAAAAGGAGGTGGCCATTGAAACCTCCTGAAGGCAGGAGCCTCTGATTCCTTTAAAAATATTTAAGCAGAGGTGGAGGTGGCCATCTGTAAGGAGTACTCTTGAGGGAATTTCTGGATTTGATAGAAGGCAGAATTAAGATGAGGTCTACTATTGATCAATAGTAACAAGACAGATTACCAGACATTATGTACTTCTTGATATGCTATAAGAAGTACAAAGTACTAACCTACGAAGTACTCCTATTTTTAAAAAATTGAACCTGATTTTAATAAGTCTCTAGCCCTAACTACCAGGTACAGGAAAAACACAGGCTAGAAGGACATGTTTAGGGGGAAAAAAAGAAAGAAAGCTCTACTAGAATATAATCAGCAAAATCTAGAATGTGAAAGACATATGGCCAAATTTCTTCAACAAATAAATGGCAAGGGGAAAAAAGATACAGAAATCTTACAGGCTTATTAAAAAAAAAATGGCTTGGGCCGGCTGAGTGGCTCAGTTGGTTAAGAGCTCGCTCAAGAGTTTGAGCTCTGAGCAACAGCGGTTCGAGTCAGCCCGAGCTGAGCAGC